AACAGAACAGAGCACAGTCGAAGCTTCTTTATTTGTTAAATATTAAATTATATTATATTATCTTATATTATTTATTTATTTATTTATTTATTCATTTATTGCCTTTACGTCCTAACAACATTCTGACAACCACTTTAAACACTTTATAAACACTTTATGGTGGAATCTCTCCTCACGGACACCGTCATAATAAAGACATTCAGTTCTGCCCATTTGCTGTAATAATAATAATAATAATAATAATAATAATAATAATAAATTTATTTAGACGTCGAATGTATTTAGCACTATTGTGCTAATTGGGAACACTGTGAATTAATAACCAAATATTGCAAATAGAAAATAAACTATTAAGAATCCCAACTGGTGGGAGGCTGACCAGTTGGCTATTTACACAACGCGGTCGAGGAATTGAACTCGGGGCTACCGAGTACAAATCCAGATAGAAGTAGGGTGGAGGATTTGAACCAGGGACCTCCAGATTTCAAATCCAGCGCCCTAAACCACTCTACCACGCTGCCTCCGTATAAAAGTGGTTTGATTGTATTCTTCAGACTCGGAGCCACTTTAAAAATCAAAATCTAACTAAGCTCCAAAATACAGAACAAGGAACATACTAGAGCATCAAGATAAGCTTGCACCATTTAAATGAAAAATATTTCAAAAAAAAAAAAACTTCTACCTCTACATTTGTGCAAATTGCAGCTCTCTGTGGACATATGTGTCCCTGGGCAATCCATTCCGTTCCATTTTGGCGCTGGATTAGAACATGTGCGAGCACGTGTCCTGTGTCCCCCTCCACACTTCACATTGCATGGTTGCCATGACGACCACTGGCTCCAACTGCCATTCACTGATGATTAAAGGGAATAATCCATGACATGAAAACCTTAGAAAGTGTATAAACTGCTGACTTTTTGAATTGGTAAGAAAAAGATCGTTTAGCTTATGTTTTAAAACGACGTTTTTAAGATAGCGTTCCAGTGTACAACAAGACTTTACGGTTCACGACAAAAAGGTTTACAGATTTTATTCAGAATTCCAATCCAATGAACTGGAGAAGCCAAGGGCCTCATCGAGGCAGGTGCTTAACACCAGTTTAAATATTTCTAGAAGTAACGGAAATTAATATTTAGATCAGTTGGCTGGGGACCCAAATGTAAATCATGCTACATAATATTAGTTAGAAAAATATCACGGGATAAAATTTGTGAAGTGTGAGGTTATGAACTGGTAACTAACCTCCAACAAACCGGTAAACAAATATGGTCCATGCATTTCCAACGTTATAATTCCATAAACAACTGTTGGATCGCCCATGTCTGTTGTACGTCATGTCACCGTTTAATCCACTCCAGCACTCGTATCGATGTTCTACGCCAAAATACCAGAAGCCATTCTCATACACTTGAGTAGCACACTCGTGAATCATGGATGGAAGTGAATTGGCCAAATCTCTCTCGTTGACAGAGTACCATTGGAGTAACACTGGTAGGGCGCGTGGAGTAGCGTCTTTGAAACAACCGACTGGTTCATACGGGTGCAGTGCCATGGTATCTGTGTAGAGAAGACCGGATAATCATTAAGTAGAGAAGCCAAGCTATAAATTAGCAACCTACAGCTGGTGGTTCTTGCGGCGCATTTAACGAGAAGCTCTAAGTGTTCACCATCTCCTTTATCTTGCGGCATTAAAAGCCACTCGTTTCCCCCTTCGCCGCTGTATTTCATTTTGCCATCTTCCGAGAAGGAGTGCACTGTGTTCATAGCCATATAGGTACAGTTATAAAACATCCTGAAAATTAAAAACTAACTCAGCTCCGAAACGGAAAGTAAGGAGCATAGTGGAGCATCAAGTTAAGCCGGAATCATTTTAAGGAAAAATCTTTTACAAAGGGCATCTACCTATACATTTCTGTAAATTGCAGCTCCCTGTGGAGATATTTTTCCCCACGCAATTCATTCCGTTCCATTGTGGCGCTGGATTAGAGCACGTGCGAGAACGTGTCCTATGTCCTCCTCCACACGTCACGCTGCATGGTTGCCATTGCGACCAATAACTCCATCTGCCATTCACTGATGATTAGAAGAAACAATTCGTGACATGAAGGATTTGACAGCGTATAA